GGTGTTCATGGAGCTTCTGCGGGGGTGATGGGGAATCAGGATGTGGTCTCTGTTGCTGTCACTGCCCAGCATTGAGAGAGGATCTGCCCTCATGGTGCTCAAACCCAGGAAAAGATCTAAGTTAAAAATTCAAGGTATTATTTCTACTATATGTGTACTGCTTTTACACATTAGAAAGTTTTAAAATTCTAAATTGAACCATGGTTGGTTGGGGGACAGTCTGTTTATATAATTATATGGAAAAAAATATGAAGTATATACATTGAGATGTGGATACTGGGATTACTGGATAGGAGACTGAAATGAGACTGAATTCTCCCCTTCTCCTTTTATTTTCTAGTACTAGGGATTGAACCCAGGGTGTTTTACATCTCCAATTCTTTTTAAAAAAATTTTAATTTTAAGACATAGTCTCACCCAGTTGCCCAGGCTGGTCTCCAATTTGTGATCCTCCTGCCTCAGTCTTCTGACTTGCTGGAATTACAGGTGCACACCACCACCTGGCTCTGAATTTCCCTTTTGATTTTGTATGTTTCTGTATTATTTAAAACAAAATTATATATTGTCTATAATTATACAAGTTACATTGTTGCCTTTTTGTTTTCAACTGAGCAAAGTTGACAAAGCTGTTAAAATGATAAATGGAAATGACCCAATGTATCCATAACAGTGATTCCATGGTGCTACCATAAAGTGTGTATTTCCTGCCGTGAGGAGGAATCTTCTGGCAGTCACTACAGCTTGACAATCAGAGAATGCTCTTCCATTCTTTCTTAGGGAAGCTTAAGGCAGACTTTACCTACTAGGGCAGTACATAGCAGTAGCTTAATGTTGCATAAGTAAATAAATATCTAATTGGGGAATGTGAAGCTGTGTAAATAGAGAATAAAGTCAAGGTTGAATTTGGCTCCATTCTCATCCATTTTCAGGGTGTTGGAGTAGAAAGTGGACTTATTTCTGGTCTACCAAGAGAGGGCAGAACAAATGTTACAGAACAGGTGCAGTAAGGAGGCAGATTTGGGCATAACATGGGAAAGAGTCTTGCAATTTTAAGTCCTCACAGTGGCCTGCACACCACATCTGACCCAACTGCCTTCTTGTTTGGTCTCATTTCCTCCCATCAAGCCACACTGTGATGTCCTGACCTTCCTCTTTCACTAGGACATTTTCCTAAGACATTTATGTTGCTTGTTATCCAGTTCCTGTAGGTGTCAACAGAGAGACCTCCCCTGATCAGCCTACCTTAAGTAGCATTTTTTGGGTGCCCAGGCACTTCCTGTTTCCCTTACATGGTCTTATTTTTCTCCATCACTTTCCAATAGCAGATAGTATCTGCAGGGATTTTTTTTTACAGTTTGCCTCCTTCATCAAGAAAGCTGAGCTTTTGTTTTGTTCAAAGTTATAGTCCCAGTACCTAATATTTCCTGGCACTTAGTTGGTGTGCAACATGTATCACCTAAGGAAATGAATCATTAACAATATGTAGGAATGGAATAGAATGTCTCGTGAAGTTGAAATTGTCTCCTGAATCTTATCAACATTAGGAAAGATGGGCTGGGGAAGGACTCCTATTGGACCAACAGGTCCAATCCATCTCCTTTGTGTGGTAGGATGGGCTGCTGTTGGCTTTTGGACTTGATATGTTGTCTTGTCGAGCTGCATGAAGTAAGCCTAATAGCCTAACACTTAGTGCTGCTGTGGGGATGAACAAGGAGGTAATAGATGTAAAGTATTTGGTGATACATATGAAAGGTAGAGACTTTGACCAGCAAATCAATACCTTTCTTTGTTACAATGTTGAGTTTCTTGAATTATGGACTCACATAACTGTCATCACCTTATCTTTTTTTTCTGCTGCTGTATCTGCACTCAGCTATGCTACCCAATGCTGATGTGGCTGGTCTCTCTTACCCTTGCCTCATACTTTTTTTTTTCAGACTTTGTGTAAATGTGTATTTTTTTCAAGCTTCCAGGTGACCAAACTTTGTTAGAGTCCTTCCTATCTAAAAAATCATCCATCATTTCTCCAGCTTGGGATTTATCAAGTGGAAAAGAGATGACAATATATCTTACTTAGTGTCATCCCAGGTGAAGAGATTTTACATAAGTTTTCTCATTTGACTGCCACTAAATTGGGGAAGTATTCAGGAAGCCCACTGTAGGATAAGGAAATTGAGGTTAGAGTGAGTGAGCTCCCATCTACACTTCTAGCCTCTCAGAATTTGCTGGCTGCTTTCTGGTGGATGACTTGGTTAGGCACAGTGACTAGGGCAGCTCAGGCCATGGACCTCTATAGAACACACCATTGGTCCTCTGAGTAGACCTGATCCACTCACACCAGCTGTGGCCTGTCTTTTGAAAGTGCACATCTATGAAAAATTGTTTGACAATTGTTCTCTCGTTTGTCAATGAATCTCATGCAGGTAAAATTGGTCACTTGGCTGTACTCACTGCTCATAAACCACCAGAGCTCATACACACGGAGGGCTCAGCTGGCAGGACACCCTTCTAAACAGGTTTTTTTTTTCTTCCCCATACAAATTGCTAGTCATTGATTTGAGATACAAATGCAGATTTGGAATTATTGCTTTCAGAGTTCAAACTTTAATTTTCAGACATATGTCCAGACCTTTTTATCGGTTCTTTAAAATGGGCAGGAGTGGTCTGTAATTACTTGGGCTCTGTCTTTTAATACCTTGAGAGTAATAATCTTCATAGTTTGTAGGAGTGAAACTAGCTATTTAAAAAGTGGTGAGTTATTTTAACAGCCTATGTGCAGGGCACTTTGGAAAGTAGGTAGGGATTATGTACCTCTTTTCTAATACCTAGGTGGGAAGTGGGCTTCTTTTTATCCTTTTGAATTCATTTTTAAAATGTATGGCACTCTATCAAATACTCAATTATTGATGTGTGAAATGCTTTGAGGCCTTGGACAGAAAGCTTGTACCTCGAAGGACATAGGCATTGGTGGCCATCTGGAGATACAGTCAGTCATGCTCAGACAGGCTGGTCTGGCAGGTGTATTTCCCTTGGTATGACCACCAAGAAACACAAAGCAGTTTCATAAGCCAGCTTTGGTTACATACTACTAGAAAGAAATAAATTTCCATGGATAAGGTACCTTAGAAGAACTTTTTTTTTTTTCATGCCTCAGCCAGTTTTCTTCAGGACAGTTCAATTTTTTTAATTTGAATTCTATATATGAAGAATATTTTAAAAATTTTAAGTCCTGTGATTCATCTAGGAGCCAAACTGACCACATAACTAACCCCAGTTTAGTTTTCTCTAAGCTTTTTCTAATCTTCACATTGTATCCTTCTTAGGATGGTGTTAGTCAAAATCTGTGAGAAATGGCATGAGTTTGGACAGAAATAATCTTTTTCTTCCTTTCTTACCAATATTTTTTTTAGTCACAGAGGTTTTGCTTTAACTGAAGCAGAAGAATCCCAGAACAGTGGGTAGATAAAACCTGTTAATATACTCATGAGGTGTTTTCAAATATAAAATATGAATATACTTATGCAAAATAGTTGTAAATTAAGTTAAAATTTGATATTTTACAAAAACTTAGATTTTAAAGAATCAGTGTGTGGATTAGTTATATTTTAACATTTTCAGTGATATTTGAGACTTTACAAAAGTATTTCAGTAACAAGCAAGTAATGAAAGCTATTTATTATTACAAAATGGTCTTACATTACTATTTTTTGCCAACAGGAAAATGTTTCCCCTCATTGAAGTATGTCGATTATTGTTTTTTGGAAATGTCAAGCATAATGGTAATATCAGGATTCAATTTGTCCTATTAAACTATTACATATTGATCTAAACCCTAGTTTCTATTTCTACAAAGGCCTATTCTATTTTCACTTAAAAAAATGGATGCAGAAGAGAACAGCAAACAAATATTCAAAGTAGAAAAAAACTCATTTTTAATCAACAGACTTTAGAGTCTAGTCTTTCCATTGGTTCTTTAAAAATAGTAAACCCCCCTGTCTCCCAACCCCCTTTTGTTCTGCACCATTAAATTGTACTGTGGCAAAACAATTCCGGCGCAACCTCTTTAAATCAGTGTTCTTTTGAGGTTGGGTACCATGTACCACAGTAATGAAGAAGGCAAATGTTGGAGGGGAAGAGAGGATGTTGAGTCAGCCTTGTTGCAAGTAGCAACTGGTGGTATCTCTAGTCTGTACTTCTTATGCAAAACTAAAATTTTTGAAAAGAGGCCATCTGCTATCATAGGCCATCACTAAGAACTTCTAGTTTGTCTTGAGAGAGGCTGCAACGTTGTTGTGCACAACATAATCACTATTAATATAGCAGGCTGCCTCTTGGCAGCACTGCAAAGTACTCATAACCAAAAGGCCATCTTTTAAATTAAATTGTAGGATCTAATACAAACCATTTACATATCACAATCTGAGACTTTGAAATAGGAGGAACATATAATGGTTTCCAAAACATCAAAAGAACCTATCTTACTTTAAAGTCTTCATTAAAAAAAAAAAAAAAAGTACAACAGAGCTTGAAGCATTAGATAACTTTGTCCATTGTTACAGATTAAAACTTCCAAAGCAAATAAAAGAACCACAATTTTCTATGTTCACCTTTAACTGGGGGAAACTTGGCAAAAGTATTCAAAGGGAAGCACTTGAACTTTCTCAGCATTTCTTTTATAACCTGGCTCTTTCTCTCTCCCGTCCCCAAAGAAGAAGAAACAAATACCAGAATCCTTTGTTTAAAATATGAAAATATCTTACAGGAATAAGCCCTAACAATACAGGATCTTACTGGAACTAACTTTAGTAAAAATTAATACAGGCAGAGAATTAGGGCTTTATTTTGGAGCTTTGGGAGGGGAGAGCCCCATGGAGGCATCTGGAGTTTCATGTGAGGCCTCCTGGGGAGGGGGTTGAATGGTTGCCTTTAAGATGGGAATCTTTTGTCTTGGGAAATGCTGGTGACTGAACCTTGACAGCTAAGCACAGGTTGCTTCATCCTTTCATGCAATCTTTTTCTAACAGCTGGGCAAATGTGTTAAACTGGTTTTCTGGACTTCCCTGAGCAGTATCTAATGAGCAAATAACACAATTCTGTGACATTTAGCAGGATACATATTCCAGACACTGCAATCATGAACACCGTAAAGACAGTCTTTTCTGTGGGCCTGGAGATAAAGCAGTCCACCGTATTGGGACAAGGCCAGGCGTTACACTTCACCAGACGCTGCATGAAGAAGCCATTGTACATGACGTAAAAGACATACATGAAGACAGCTTCGAAGATGACCCGGAAGAAGATGCTGCTGGTGTAGGTCCACCACAGGGACCCTTCAATACGAACCTTCTGGGTTTTGATCTCTTCAATGTCCTTATATTCATTCTTCATCTCTCCCTTCATGAACTTCCTTTTCTTCTCATGTCTCCGGTAGGCCACGTGCATGGCCACCAGGAGTGCTGGTGTGGATACAAAGATCAGCTGCAGTGCCCAAAGCCGGATGTGAGAGATGGGGAAGTGGTGGTCGTAGCAAACATTTTTGCAGCCAGGCTGGAGTGTGTTGCAGATAAAATCAGCTTGCTCATCTCCCCATACCTCCTTGGCAGCCACCACAAGGATCATGATGCGAAAAATGAAGAGGACAGTGAGCCAGATTTTACCAATACTGGTGGAGTGTTTGTTGACACCCCCCAGGATAGTCTGTAGTGTGCCCCAATCCATCCTGTTCTCTGGGAGGTTGGTGCTGGAAAAGAAAAATGAACATGACATAGAGATCACTAGTCTGGACAGAATCTGGATAATTTCTCTGGGTCTGGGAAAGTAAGCACTTTTAAATCTCTTCCTGAGCATTGACTCTATCCTCCTCCAAAATAGTGAAGGCAAAACCAATTTGGTTTGCCACAGGATTAAATATGTAGCTCCTAAACAATCTTGAACAAGTTTCTATATGTTTGCTAATAATGAGTAGCTTGTTCACTTGAGTAATTCACCCAATCTTTAGCATATAATAAATATTTGGGGTATGGGGTACACCGATGCAAAGTACTTGTTAGCTTAAAGGTACAAATGAGTTCTGACCCAATCTATTGATTCTTCCACAGATTCTCCTGGGATATTACCAACTCCACCACAGCCATTCAGGGTTCAATAGTTAGATCCACTGGTAGCAACAAGTTTTGGACTGTACCAGTGGAACTGCCCTAGTTTTGACCAGCATTTACCTTAAATGCTGAGAGGCCAAGTTCAGGTGATATAATTTATGGAAGTCCACCTAATCCAGTGTTGTATCAATTTTCCCTGCAGAACCCCTTTACTTAAAATATTTCAGTTCATTTTCATAGGCTTGGGATGTAGCAGTGAAATGGTTATTACAAATGGTTCTATTTACATTTGACACCCCCTGCAAATTAACATTTCACCAAGGGCCTTGATTCCTTCTTCTATATGGAGAAAAGTAGGAATAAATGGTCTCTTCAAGTAGAAGAGTTGCTCTGTGCATGGATTTTTGTGTACAGGTTGGTGGCCTCACCGTCACATTGGGACTGACTGGTTAGTACTCAAAGTATCTGTTTAGATAAGTGCTGCAACAGTATTGTTGTTATGGGTTATGGTTAGAAGTATTTCTAAGAGACACTTTATGAAAAATGACCAAAAATTCAACCAGTGGTTCCCCATGGCTGGTCCAATGAAGCCCATCATTGTTGTAGTTTAGAACCAAAATCTGCTGGGGTAACATACTCCTTACTGAAAGCAGGTGTGAAAGGGCCCATGGATAATCTTCCATGAGCCAGAGGCCTTCTATTTCATCCCAGGATATGAACTGTCTTCATTGATTCATAGCTACACCCTGTCTGACACAATCAACTTCTCTTCTAAACAAGATTCCATCCTCTCCACAGTCCTCATGAGTCACCTCTTTTCCACCCTTTCTAAGCTGTAATGAATCCTCCTTCTCTTACTTAAAAGCATCCTGCGCTCCTGATTTTAGGCAAGTTGCATCCTGTTTCCTGCTGGACTCTCAAGGCAGGCTCAGACTGAATGTCTCTCATTACCTACAGTTGCTGCTGTGGGACACCAAGATCTGACTGAACCTATTCAATGCCACCTTGATCAGAGGAGGCAGAAGATCCCCGGGCAAGAAAGTTAAGTCAGACTGAAATATACGGAAATGGTAAAACATTTAGCCTCATTCAGTTTGAAAGAAGAAATGTCACTAGAAAAAAAAAATGGTGATTTAGTTCAGGTTCAGCCCTGACCCATTTAAATTCAGACTGTCAGAGAGGCCCTTACGTGAGTCAGTTGTCCTTTGAAAAGTCTCACAGCTCAATCTAATACTGCCTTCAACAGCAAAACCACTGAAAGAAACAGCATTCAGATTTTAATAAAACCACCTCCTGGAATTAGAATTTCCAGTTTTTCATGGGCACTCACTAAAGGGAAAACAGGACACTCATTGAAATAAGCCTCCATATACCTGGTCAAACTATGGAGGTGGAAGGGGAATTTGGGATTTATGCTTGGCCCACCTCTATAGTATCAAACACAGATCCTATACATTCTATAGAACAGTCTAGTCACCCTCAGTTGAGAAAAATACAGTTCCAAGTAACCTCTATCTTGTTGTTGTTCTAAAACCAAAGTTATAGCTACTTGTTTTTTGAGTATTGCTATCTTGACCAGGCTGGTTTCCAACTTCTGGGCTCAAGTGATCCTTCAGCCTCAGCCTTCCAAGTAGCTGAGACTACAGGTGCATGCCATTGCACCCACATTACTGCTTGCTACCTGCTTTAAAGGCCCTTTCAAGAAGAGGAATAAATTAAAATTTGAGCCCCCAATGGGATAAGAATAACAAGGTAAGATGGACTAAAAAAGCAGGGTGAAATTGTTCTCAATGTACAAATTTGCCCCAGAGCTGCTCTCCTGGCCTCCTGACTTGGGCAGTCACATGCAGGTTCCTACCTGGCCCAGGCCACTCTGCAATTGCTTGGAGCATTGCCAGAGCACGAGTCCAGGGGTTGGTTCACTTCTTTTGGGAAGGCACTAGGTGAATCACCCAGTTCCAGAAAAGGAACAAGGAGTTATTTGCCCCTTACCTTCCCACCCCTTACCTAACTGGTGGATCCATCTAAAGGACCTGTCCCTACACAGCTCCCCACCTTCTTATGGGTGTCTTTAATTGTGACTGACTTAACTCAGTTTTAAAATGGACTCAACAGGCACATGGAGGCATGGCTGTCCTACACATCTCAAGATCGTCTCAGGTCCTAAAGTCTAGCTCTGAGGAATCTGGAAAAAGCTCACTGGGCAGGCTTATTCCCCACCTCCATAAGGGGCGACGGAGGGACTGATGCAAGCATCCTAAAAGGACATATTTCTCAACTGCACACCACCTCCTCTGAGAGTAAGTGTCCTATGAGTTTTCCTTCCAGTTGGAGAACTTCTCCTGGAAGTAAAAGCTCTTGAAGTGTTTAAAAAAAAAAAAAAAAAAAGAAAGAAAGAAAGAAAGAAAGAAAGAAAAGCAACCAAAGTCCTGACCCATGTTTAGCCTCCGGTCTGCCCTGTCCCAGGAACTGTATTAGGTGCGAGTTCTAGGTAATCGCCCCGACTTCACCCTAGTACTTTCTTTGCAAAGAGAACGCGAGGAGGTAAAGGTCGGTTTCTTCCCGTGGAGGCTTCCTGCTTAACAAACTAAAGTGAGTTTGCTTTCTAAAAAAAAGCTTTTGGTTAATTTAAAACTTTTGGTGGTGGCAGATAAAGTAGCCAGAAGACTGTGGGGGGAATTAGCCCCTAGTAATATCGGCAACAGATGCCACCATAGCTCTCGGGTTGGCCTGGTCCCGCTTTTTCCCTCTGATACGCGCACCAGGCGCAAAACTCGATTTCTAGGTCGGGGGTGGTGCCACCTCGTCCCTTTCCCCAGCCGCCACTGCAAACCCAGCCCAGGCAGCCCCATTCAACTTCCAGAGTCCGGCCCTTGATACTCCTACCCAGAAATGTACTCTCGCCACCTGCCTCCAGCCCCCAGGCAGCGGTCACGACTCGCTCCTGTGAACTCCTCGCCAGACCCTAGGGGTCCCCAGACCTCGGAGTTGGGGCGTCCGGGCTTAGTTTCCTCGGCCTTCCCCAAGTCCCTCTCGGCCTAGACCGCCCCGGGGCATCACAGGTCGGCGCCCGGCGTACAGCTGCGAGCGGGGGACGCTGGCCCGCGGCCTCACCTGCGTCCGGAGAGAGCGTGCGGCGGGGCCCGGCGGGCGGCGAAGGGTCTCTGGCAGCTCCTGGGGCGCTCCCTCGGATGTGGGGCTAGTCCTGGGCGGGGGCCGCCTCCGCGCTCGCTCGCCGCAGGCCGGAGCGCAGCCGACGGGCTCCGAGTCGGGACAGCCGAGCGCGCCGGGCGCTGCGGGTCTTCAACACCTGTCTGCTGCAGCGCCGCCTTTTAACCGCACCCCACACCCCGCCTCTTCCCTGGAGCTACCGAGAAAGTTACGGAGGGGGCGGCTCCTTGCCGCCCGCACCGCCCCCCCCCCCAGCGCCTCGGGCGGGGCCCTCCGGGCCTCCCCGGCTCCTGAAGCTTCTTGGGGCCCCCGAACCCCAAGAGGTCACCAAAGCCTCTAAGCCTCCGGAGTCCCCTTGTGACCCTCTGGAGCTTCCCTAGAGTCCAGGGCTCCACGAATGCCCTATTTCCCTTCCCTTCAGCCCCTGGGCAGGCCAGGCAGGAGCCAGCTAAGGCTCTGCGTCTCCACCTCGGAGGACGCCAAGCCCCAGGCCCCAGCTCCCTGCATTTGAAGGAGTAGGTGGGTTTGAAGAGTAGTTGTTGGTGTTATTTCTACTCCTACTAGTTCAAGACTACGATTGCATTTGAAGTTCTGTTTATTATTATTTAAGCAGGCGTTCCAACGATGTGAAAATTTATTTGCAAGTCCTGAGATTCCAATGCAGGAGAGGCTATCACTTAGGGGAACCACAGAGCAGGGCTCAGGGCCTCTGGAAATTGGGTTCAGGGCCAGCGAAGATGGAGCGCCATCAGTGTTGGCTAAATCCCCACTTGGATTTCTCTGAGTTACCTATTTAATTCGATCACTTTGAAGGGTATGCCAAAAGCCAAGAATGGGTGTGTGTGGAGGTGACAAGTCTTGCTTCTTTTTGCCAAAGCTGGCCACAGGGTCTCTGCCTGCCTAGAGGGAGTCGTCCGGCCATCAGCAGAGGGTGCTCTGGCTCGGACCCTGACAGCTTCATCCTCTTTCCACAATTGGGAAATTGCAAGGAGGTTACTTTTTTTTTTTTTTTTTTTTTTTGCGGGGGGTGGAGGGGTAGTTGCCCAGATTATTCAGAAAGGAAAGAGCACAGAATGAAGTCTACCAATCCCATCCCTCCCTCCCAGTACACATACTGCTAGAAGGGGTACTGATAGGATTTCTGGAGAAGCTTCTGGAAAGCATGTCCCGCACACTTTAGTTCTTTCTCTGCGAAGCTTGATGCCTCAATGTGAGGACTTAGGGTTGGGTATTTGGTTGGGCATTTTGATGTCTTGAGATGCTAGTGACAGGAAGTCAGATGAGAAATGAATGTGAGGAGTAGGCCACGTTTGTCCAGTCTCCTCCCATTCCTTGCTTCATGATTCCTGCAGAGCAGCCAGTTCTTAGAGGAGCAGGCTGCACATTCTCACGCAGGGTTTCCTCAGGTCAGTTCTACCTGAAGTGAGGATGATTCATCCTGACAAGGCAGAAATGGATTTCCCATGATTACCATAGTTTGCGTGAAGGTATTG